AACGTGCAATGTCACGATTACGGATCTGATTACCTGACCACTACGCTATCTAAGAAAATTACAAAGTTCTATCTGATTTTTTATTTTTTTTTATTGTTTGACTTTACCAAGGCCAAATGTTCTAATGTCAGAACCCAAATGTTCTATTTACTCTATCAAAATCGTAAGATAATTCGAAGTCGTTACCAAGATGTTCAAAGAATTACATCCGAAAAAGCTTGACGCGTTGCGAAACTCAATAGATCAATGTTTTTCGTCAAATTTCTATTTTTAAAAATTGTGTAGACTACTGAGCAGTACGGGACTTTGTGATTCCAGGATAGCGACTGGGCTACCTATGTAACTAAGCTAGTTTTCCTGTACAAAAGTAGATGGATGCGTCTTGGCAATGTAAGGGTTAAATAGTATTGTTTGAATTCACTATGGGGTCGTTGGGTTTTTTTAAAAGTTTCAATAAGAATTTTACGGCACTTGCAACGACATTAGGTCATGTAAGTTCCGAAAATAAGCAACGTTACAAGAGAGAAACAACCACAAAAAAGGAGCAGAGATCAGGACAATAGACGTTCGATAGGTAAGAATGAGCAAACCCACGAACACGGCATCCGCCAACCACCCCACTTTTCACGATGGCGTGTCTCTCTATTGATAAATGTATAGGCACCTGGGATACATGTCTCAGAGTTGTTCCCTGAACTTTTATTGAACTCCCTACAGAATCCCAGCTGAAATTTGGTGATTTCAGAACTACAAGTGCATGTAGAATTTGTTATAAGTTTTGTACATTCTAATTTAAGTTTCCTATAGCGCTTATTGGTTGAAATTTATGGTTCCAGCAGGCAGGCTGTTGACTTTAGCCCTGTTTTGGATTTTATTATTTCGTACACATACTACTTGGCAGTACTTGGCTTCTTCAGAATGACAAAGTTCTATCTGCTCAGATCTTGTTTTTTAAAAAAGTTTAATTTTCACAACATGCCAAGCTTTTTCGAAAGCAAATCTTTGACTATCTTGATAACGACTTCGATTACTTCGAATATTCTTACGATTTTGATAGAGCAGATAGAGCATTTATTGCTTTCTGACCTCATGGTCTTAGTAACTCAACACGAC